GGGAGTCTGCTTCTCCTTCTGACCCTCTTCCCTCTCGTGCTCTCTATCTCTCATTCTCTCTCTCTCAAATAAATAAATAAAATCTTTAAAAAAAAGATTTATTTATTTGAGGGAGAGAGTGCACGAGCAAGTGCATGAGTAGGGGGAGGGGCTATGGGAGAGGGACAGAATCCTTAAGCAGACTCCCTGCTAAGCATGGAGCCTGACATTGGGCTCTATCCCAGGACCCTGAGATCATGACCTGAGTTGAAATCAAGAATCGGATGCTTACCTGACTGAGCCACCCAGGTACCCCATAAGTACCTTTCTTTTGAATCTGGTTAGATGTTGTCTGCTTCCACAAGTAGAGTCCAGCAGAAGTGATGTTAGGTCAGAAAAGACCATACAGAGTCCATTTTGTTCTCTGGAATTCTCATTCTTGGATTCCTGAGCCACCATGTTAAAAAGAGGAACCACCCTGAGGCAACCATGCTTTCAGAAAGCTCAAGCCGCATGCAAAGACTATGTGTAAGCACTCCAGTCAAGAGTCCCAAGTAAGTACAGCCTTTGAGTCATACCAGCTCAGGTGCCAGTTATTTCAGCAAAGAAACTTTGAATGATTCCAACTCCAAGACATTTGAGTCACCCTCAGCCACTCCAGTGTTCCCAGATGAGGGCTCAAACATCATGGAGCTGAGATAAGCATCCCTATTCTCCAACTGAATTCCTGACCTACAGGAGCAAAATAAAATGGTTGTTAATGTATCACTAAAGTTGGATTGGGTGGGTGGGTTATTATACCACAGTAGATCACTAAAGTTCTCAGGAACCCATCACCTTAGACTGCATATTGAACCTATTCCCTTTCAGGGCTACATATTGCTAAGCATACAAATGCATTCATGAAAATGATACAATTCATAACCCGTGCTGGACAATCTTCCTAACTTTCTGACGATGGCTCTGCTATACCACTTATAAAAGTGAATTGCCTAACCATAGAGTATCAGCGCAGAGACAATGATTTTTGTCCTACATTTGAAGAATCTTTTTCAGGGCCCTCCAAGTCTAAATCCATATATTCAACACCCATTAGCCACAGACCAAAATCACATGGACTTCATAAATAAGATTGTCGAGGCACACGTATGGCACCATACATCATAAAGGCAAAATGACCGGGTCCTGTAACTTGTAATCACCAAAGAACAGAACAAGGGTTTGTTACCAAGTTCTTGTTGCTTGGGGAAATAACGCAGATAGGAGATTCGGCCCAATTCTCATTCCTCTGTACTATTACCCATATCCGTAGAAAACTTGTGCTGATTCCAGTGTATATAATAAAGGCTTAAAGGTTATTCTTGGAAAGACAGACACATAATCATAATAATACAGTGTGAGAAATACCGTGATAGTTTGCACAGGACATTGTGGGAGTGCTAAAGAGGAGATAATGAGTTGGTTTGGGATGTAGTAATGCTATAACGATTCCAATGTAGGTCAGTTCTCAAAGTATTTTTAGTTGCAATGAAATTTATAGGAAAAGAACACTTGAACAGATTTACTTGAACAGTTATAAATAGGTTCATTTTGCCATTATACTACACCTCTAATTTCTGGGAAATTTTCTAATTATCAGAATGTAAAAAATACAAGGGCATCTGGGTGGCT